GCCAGCAGCGAGCGCACACACAATATGTGGTGGCTCGCGAAGGCGGCGGGCAGGAGCCTGGCGGGCAGCCCGCGCCGGTAACCGGCCCCATGTGAGCGCCCAGCTCTCGCCTTTCGCCGCCCGCACGCGATCGGCCGCCAAACGCGATGTCTTTCCGAGAGACCAAGGCGGGGGAGAGAGCCAAGCACCCTGAAGATCATGGCAAAAAGCAGAGTTCAAGTGAGATTGGGGCTTTTTTTTTCTTCCTTCCCTTCCTCTCGCTCTCCTTCTCCTCCTCCCTTTCTGCCTCTTGTCTCGCCGGGGTGGAGGGAGGGAGGGAAGCGGGGACACACACGGCTCGCAATTCCCCCATTTTAGGGCTCGCTTCTTGGTGGATTTCCTCCCTGCCTGGGTGTGTGTGTGTGTGTGTGTGAGGGAGACGGCGGTTCGTTTAAAAAAAAAAAGAGGTCTTTGTTGAATAATTTTTAACTTCGGGGTTTTCTGCCTGGTTTTATTTTTTATTATGTTTTTTTTTCTCCCCTTCCTCCTCCCTGCCTTGTCTCCCCCGTCCAGGTTGGATCAACGGAATGGAGAACAGCACCCAAGCCAGCACTTCTGTCGAGAAAAGAAATCACCATTGGAGAAGTTACAAGTTGATTATTGACCCGGCTCTGAAAAAAGGACAGCACAAACTCTATCGTTACGATGGGCAACATTTTAGCATGCCTGTGAGTGCGGGGATTGCCGCGTGCCCCCCTGTGTCGTGTTGCGTGTCCCCCCCGGCGCCCTGTCCGAGTCGCCGGGGCCCCCCAGGGCCCTGCGTTCCCCACTGCAGCCTGTGTGTGTTGGTGGGGGGGTCGGCAGGGTGGGGGGCACAGCCGCGGAAGTTACTGCCACCTGACACGATGTATTCAACTGTCAGGAGCCCCGAAAGGAGCCCAAACCTGCAGCTCGCTGCCTGTGTTTCCAATCTGTGTGCATTTCCCAGCAGTATTGCAATTTGACACGTGTGTGTATGTGTGTGTCTGTGCTTTTCTGTTCCCCGGAGGCTTCCTATGCCTTGCCGGGGTTTATTTATTTTATTTACTTATTTATTTATTTCGCTTGTGGCTTAAATTTCAAGCAGTGCTATTGCTGTTTTTGTGCTTTTTCTTCTTCTCCTCCCAGAACTCTGGAATTGCTCCTGTGGATTGTGTCAGAGATCCCAGAATAGGGCGAATATGGACCAAAACTAAGGAGTTGGAGCTGTCTGTCCCCAAATTCAAGGTACTGCCCCTCTCTCTTGGGTTTAGCTTGGTATTCTTGTTTGTCCGGAGGTGAAGCTTGAGTTGCAGATAGTTTAATGAACCGCTTAAATGACAGTCATATTCCTATTAACATTATATTCGGTGAGCCGTTTAACAATAACCTGATTCTCTAAAGATAACAAAAAATCAATACATCTGACTAATAACATCAGGTGGAACATTTTGGAGTTGTGTCTTGGGTGCTCCTCTCCAGGAGGGTGGGTGACAGGGGGACTGTTGGCTGGTAGCCCTGCTCAAAATACATATTCCTGGCGCCCGGCTGAATGAATGGCTGAAACTGCAGCGGCTCCGCTGCTCCCGGGGCCGGTGTGGGAGCCTTGGAGGCAGTTTCTTTCCCCAAAGTTCTGCAGGAGGCTTTAACCCTCTCCCTTCCACGCCATCCTCGCGCCGCTTTCCCTCCCTGCTCTTCAGCGCTGGCGCTGATTTTCATTGCCACCCTCGTGCCTGTTTCCAGATTGATGAATTTTACGTGGGGCCAGTGCCGCCCAAGCAGGTCACCTTTGCCAAGCTGAATGACAACATCCGCGAAAACTTTTTGACCGACATGTGCAAGAAATACGGCGAAGTGGAAGAGGTGGAGATTCTCTACAACCCCAAGAACAAGAAGCACCTGGGCATCGCCAAAGTGATCTTTGCCACCGTGAAGGGTGCCCGGGAGGCCGTCCAGCACCTTCACAACACCTCCGTCATGGGCAACATCATCCACGTGGAGCTGGATACGAAAGGTGAGGGCCAGAGCTCGTCTTTGCTGTTGCAGCTCCTGCGTCCTTCTCTCCTCTCCTAAAATGCGGCGCTTTTGCAGGCTGGAAGGGCTCCGTGATTAAAATTTCGGAGCGCGTGGCCCTGTCCCCCTGTGTGCGGGTCTGGTTTCTGGGGCCTTGGGAAGTCACGTGGAGCCAAATGTGTTGTCTGTTGCTAGGAGACAGCCCTGTAATTTGCAAAATGCTGCCATCCTGCCCGGATCCTGCCCCTTCCCCGTCCCCAGCGCTGCCCTGGGGAGCCCCTGCGTCCCCAGCCCCCTGCTCGAGCTGCTGCCGCCCCCGTGTGACCCCCTGCGGCTGGCCTGGCCCCTCGGCACCTGCTGGGCAAGACCAGCGTTTTGGGGAGAAACCCGGGGCTTCCCGGGACCCAGATCTCCGCATTCGGGACACGGCAGTGGGGCTGGGTGCTGTCCTCGGGGCGCCTGGTGTTTCATTAATATTTAGCAACAAACTCAAGGCTGGCAGCAAAAGAGTGCACAGCCCTTGACAGCATGTGTGTGTGTGTGCGCGCGACTGTGCGAGTGCGACTGTGCGAGTGTGTGTGTAAGTGTGAGACTGTCCCTTAAAGGGACAGGAGCTCCAAGTCCTGGAAGTAACTGGCTCTCGCTCCTGGACCTGAGCACTGTGTGGCCCAATAAAGTTGCTGAAAGTACCAAAACTTTCTCTTCTCTCCAAGAATTGGGCACTTGACTAAAATACCCCTGAATTTTAGAAAATGTCTAAAACTGAGGTGTAGGAAACAAAACTGTTGAGAAATAGCCACTTGTATTTTTTTTTTCTTTTCAAACTTAGCATTTCTGGTTTAAAGCTGACTTGTTGCATTCTTTCTTGAGGAAGAGGACATTGTTAACACCACCGTTAAAAAAAAGAAAAATGTAACACTGATATTTTTGTTCTGTATTAAAAGGTTTAAAGAATTTTGTGCATAATCTGTACAGCAGTTGTTATGCCACACGTGGTAAGAGGGTATAGTAGGATGTTATTGACACCAGTGGTCTCTGTTAAAAGCAAAATCACAGTAGCATTAAAGTAATTTACTACTGTAATTTACGTAAATATATTTTTTAAATTTTAGTATCAGTTTTTACATAGGTTATTTCTCCTGGTTACTTTGAAAACTGAAAGTAAAAAATACATTTAGCAAGAGATTAACCATTCGTAGTGTTAGTAATGTAAATTAAAGCAGGCTCATAAGTGGTGCAGTGAAGGTCTTGCTGAGGGATGTTCCAAGCAGGCTGACTGGAGTGAATTCCCCCTTGTTTTTCTCCATTCATAATTTACCCTGCAAATCTTGTACAGACAGCTGTGCAAGAAAGTTAGCTGCACATCAGGGAATGACTTTTTTAATGCTTTTATCTTTTATCCTTTTTCCTTTTTTTTTTTTTTCCTGAGAAAACATTGAATGATCTTAGTTTTAAATTGCAGTTTTTTGGTTTTTTCCTTGTGTGCTTCTAAAGGTGTGGGTTTTTGTTTTTTTTTTTTTTCCTCCACCCCCACAGTTGTGCCTGTTTCATTCTTAATGAGTAAGATTGGAAGTGTTAGGTGATCTGGTGGAATCAAGTAAAAATACTGCTCCCAAAGTAGCGTTAACAGGTTAGGGTATTTGTAAAATACATATGTGTAATTTTTCAAATTTCTTTCCCCTGTTCAGCTTTTCCAGAATGTTGTTAAAGTGACTGTTTAGTTAAATACTTGATTTTCATAGTCTACAAAAATAAATGTTAGGAGCAAAAGCGTTGATTTATCTGTCTGGTCAGAGCACAGGCCTAGGAATTTGGATCTAATAAATCTAGATGTTCCCTCTCTGCCTTGGTTTATCCATCTGCAGAGTGGACATACTCACTAAGCACCTATTTTTATAGCGATAGTTAAGAATCGTTTTACATTCATAAAGTTATTTTAAAATAGACTTATAAATTTGACTACATTGTCCTGGGAGCAGGAGGAATTAGGAAATTTTCTGCCATTTTACATTTATCTAAAAACCAGCTTCAGGTCTAGCGTTTCTATATCCCTGACATTGTGGTCTCCTGGCAGGGTGTGCATGTGTTAATATTTAAAGTATTTTAGGCTTTGTCTTGAAGAGATCTATTTTTCATGACTTAAATGAGCTATAACCATTTAAATAGCTGAGAGTCAAGACTTGATGTGTGATTTGAGATTGGAAAAAACAAATAACCTCACCTGCAGCTTTTATTAAAGATAAATGGGTCCTTTTCAGTGTGCAGGATCAGGCTAAAGATGCTGTAGTTTTAAACTGCTCAGAGCAATTCTTGGGGATTTTGAGGTTTGATTCTTCAGGACTTCCTCTTGAAAGTCCCATTTCAGGGAAGATCTTGCTTGAATTCAACACTCTGTGCTCAGGTGTGGGTTCTGTCCTTTTTTTTTTCTGTATATTATTTTCTTTTTCAGTATAAAGACAAAATCAGATCCATTTCTCAGATAAGCAAAATTCACACAGTCTGAGAGGCTCTGATTCCATATCCTTTGAAGTTGATAACAGTTTTCTTACAGTCTGCAAAAGGAGTAGGATTGGGTTTTTTGCAGCAACGAAAAATCCAGTATTAGGGTCTTATCTAGGATTCAGGAATTTAGGAATGAAGAAAGCTAAAGCCTGGCAAAAATGTAATGGGCAACCAGCTTCTCTGGTTTATGTCATTGAAGAATACCACTGAGCACACCTTAAACTGGAAAAAAAACAACAACAAAAAAAACCCCAAATCAAACCCAATTAGTGCATGTCCTTTTGCAGAAGCGCCGCTCGAGGTTTGGTGCGTGGCGTTGCCTGCACCTTGGTTGTGTGAGTGACAGCCAGCCCCTGTGGGCAGGGTGTTCGGGAGGAGGTTTCTGCAGAGGGGTGACCCCTTTCCTAAGGGTTTCACTTCTAAAACGTGAAAATTAAAGGATTTAGGAAACCTGGTCCAAGCATCACTTCTCTTATCCCTCTCTGAAATGCTCCTTGCCCTCCGCAGAGGCCATCGTGCCGGCAGGATGATGTATTTTTGCACAGGCTGCTCTATTTCTGTTTAACAAACTCTTCCATTGTGGTTTGTGCAGGTGAGACCCGCATGCGATTCTACGAACTGCTAGTTAATGGTCTTTACACTCCTCAGACCCTTCCCGTTGGCACCGAGCAGGACGCATCGCCAACTGTGAATGAAGCTCTGCAGGTAGGGGTTGCTTGGCCTTTCTAAATAGTGACTTTCTGGAAAATTCCCTACAAATGTCTGGTTAAAGTTCGCTTTTTACACTCTTAATGTAGCTCTGCCTTTTTCTTGACCTGCAATATTTTATCAGTGAATGTTGCTGATTCACATTAAAAGATAACTCACTAATCATGGCCATAGCAAATGTAGCTCTCTGCAAATATGGTTGTGCGTAGCTAATCCATGTCCCAGTGTCTGCCTAGCAGGATAAGTGATTTTTGTCCTTTTCTGAATGGAAGATGCCCACAGACACTTCGCTGCGTACCATGTTAGCATTAGAAATTCCTGCAGTTAAGAGAACTGGACCAGATCTTGAAATTATGAAATTATTCCATTGAAGGCAGGAAATGTTTCAAATCGTACATCTGGCCTAATGTCTGCAGTGTGTAATTCTTGCTGTGCGTGTGTTCTGCAGTTCTGCTTAAGGGCTAGAAGAGAGGTGTCAAATCTTGAATAGCAGCAGCAATTCATAGTCATCAGGATCCTTAGGCATCAGTTCTCCACAATCCGAATTATCCCTGGAATCAGGTGCTAGAGAAAGCAGCAGCAGTGTTTCCAGAGGCCCCCAGGCATTCCCCAGTATTTGCAGAGTGGGTCTGTAAGGGGCTTTTTACCAATTCTACACGCCCAGCCCCACTGAAGGGAGAGGGGCCCAGCCGTGTGGAGCCGTGAGACCTCTTGGCTTGTCTGTATGTACTCTGGCTCCTGATTTTATGGCTTAGGGAACATACGTTAAGGCCTCAACTTTTGAAAGTGATCTGGCAGAGAGTTTAAGATCTGCTAAATGTGAATTTATTCATTCCTCTACTTCTCTGCATTCTTACGACTCTTAAAAAGCTGTAATTTTATTAACTCTATCACATGTCTTCAGGAAGAGAGCTGTGCAATGAAGATGAAAATCTCATTGATCTAAAAAACAAGATTCTTCTCCTTGCTACCAAGCCCTGCAACGGCAAGAAGGCAAAATAAATCCCCAGTAACCTCTAGACAAACTCGTAGAGGTGCAGACTCTTCCATACCTCCCAGCAAGAGCCTTTTTAAAGGCAGGAAGGAGTGGGAAGGAGGCGAGTGATGATTTTGCAGGGAGCTCTGCCTGGCAAAGTACTTGTATGTGTTCCACCTGACCTAGGAGGAATGAGCAGGGCCTGCTTTTGACTTCTTGTTGCACAAACCTAAGGTAGAAATGTCCGGATTTGCTGTTAACTGTGAAATTGCAGCAACAGCAAAAACAAAACATCTAATTGATGTAACCTCAAAAGCAGTCCCTACCGTAATTAGCTTTAAAACTGTTTCTCTGTATATTACGTTCCTAGTCTTTCATATATTATTATCCTGAATTGATTTTTTTCCAATTACTACCAGCATTATTGCTTTGCGGGTAACTTTAACCGTTCACATCATGTTGCTATTTGCAGGATCTGCCAAAAAACTCGTTAGTTTGTCATTGTAGTTTCAGTAAAATATTCTCGACTTCTGATTTCCCCCTTGTTCCCAGCAAGGACCTGGCAGTGCCGTGAGCTGCGGTCCCTTCCCCGAGGCCACATCCAAGCCCTGCTGGACACCAGTCCACATCAAACGTGCACTTAATAGGCAGAGGGGTGGGTCATAGCGGAGCTGTGACGTGGCTCGTGCCTTTCCTAGGGTACTGGAACAGCTGAGGGCGAAAGTTTCCTGATGTCCTCGTGTTTGTGGCATTAAAGGGTCACAGCAAAGCAAATCTAAAGGAGAGGGTGTGAGAGCTGAGCTGAGGTGTGAAGGTGCTGGCCTCCTGCAAGCAGCTCGTGTCAAGGTTCTCTTCACCTCATTTCGCAGCTAGACCGTAGTGTGAGCTGCGAGACATCGTGGAGCTTTGGGGGAGCTGGAGCTCCGTCCTGCCTCTCGCTAGCAGAGCGATTCCCCAGGCTCTTGCATTGCGCTGCAGGGAATTGATTTTGGCTCTGATGGTCAGTGTGGCACTGATATGACTCAGCAGTGCCCGAGTCCGAGCAGGCTGCTCCTGGAAACCCCTGGACGTGCTTTGGAGGTGACATGAGGAACAATCACTTGGTTCCTCTGTAGGTCTGGAGGGTTCTGTTTTTTTGAGTGCCATCAGCAGCAGTGCTCTACCATCGTTTGTCTTTTTGGAACAAACGGCGTGCTCAGCAGTGGAGAGAAATTCTTTCTGTGTGTTATCCAGCCGTTTCCCTCCTTGTTGAAGATTAACGTTTGGTGAAGAGGACGGTGGG